GCAGACACTCACCTGCTGGTCCCCTCCCCTCCCCTCCTCTTTTCCTTCCCTCCACTCCCCTTCCCAGGAGGTTACAAATCAGAAAATAAAAGAAAACCCAGCAGATTTCATTATTGCCATTTTAAAAAATATTTTACCATTACTATAATGACTCTTTAAGCAGTTTATATGTTACATCATGAAGATAACAGAAAGTGGTAATAATTTTCACCTTCATTTTTTTCCATTGCAATTTGTATAGCAAATTTTTCAGTCTGAAATTAAAATATACAGTAAAAGGGGGAAAAAGCAGTGGCAACTATAACCTCAATTATCTAAATGCCAGGGTGCCACATCCAAATGTGGGAACTTGAAGAAGTACAAAAGACCCTTAGAATAGCTACTTATGAAATGTCAGTACATTTGGCAGACTTCTTTTTAGCCTTTCATTTTGAGATTTATTGCCTGAAATACAAGGATTATGTACTTTATGGATGCACCTTGAACAATATGCCTTTATGTGGGGGGAGCGTGGAAATATGCCTGGAAGAGAAGTGAAATGACAAGCCAATATTTTAAGATGGAATATTATCTATCCTCTTTTATGTGGAGAGAAAAATCACACGCAAACCAGCAGAATTTTTTTGTTGTTGTTGTTGAGAAAAGTCAAAGGAGGAAGGGGAAGAGAATGAAATTACAATCATCCAGGCCATTATCTCTTTCCATGCTGCTTATTTACGTATTTTCATTCTGAAACTCCTAAAGAAGAAACTATCATAGCAACTGCTGTTTGTCATTATTTCACTGTTACACAGTGAGACTTTATAGAATATCTCCCAGCAGTAAGAGACTTTCCAGCCATTGGCTGACTGCTCATAAGTGATAAACTGTTTAGAAGTAAGCTACCCTTCAGCCAAAGATAGTATATGCTTTAAATGCTGTGGAGTAGAGAGAAGCTGTTCAATATTTCAAGTTTACCGCCAACTTAAGGTTGCTGTGATTCTGAACACATACTTAAAAAGAAAGAAATACTTTTGATGATTAACAGAAACAGGTGAGACAGCAGGATTTGATTTATGTAGGAACTTAACTGAATTTGAAAAAATATCTATTATTCTATAGGTGGAGAATGAGAAATCGAGGACTGAAAGGGAATACCTATGTTTATTCTGTTCGAACCTGGCATATTCTCAAATACCTTGTGGCCCTGGGTCTAAGATTAGGGAAGACCATAACGCTCCTGGATGACCTCTTACACAGGCCTTTTTTCTCATTACCAATATCAAAGTAAGAGGAAGCAAGTGGGAAAAATGAGCAAGCTCTTGCCTTAGTGGGTGTTGGTGGACATTTTCTGTGATATTTTAAGGAATACTTTCAGTTGAGTGGATTGGTTCTGGTCCAGTCAGCATAAGTACTATCTAAAGACGAAAGCTAGATTGAGTTTTCAGACCATCTAGTGAGGTATTGACTGTCATCCACTAGAAAAAAAATAGTTTGCTGTAAATATACCTCAAGTTTCAAAGTCAGCAGGTAGATAGAGATATACAGATACAGTGATAGGACAAAGAAGGAATGGTTTTAAACAAAGAGAAGGGAGATTTAGATTAGATGTTAGGAAGAAATTCTTTACTCAAAGATCAATGAGACACTGGCACAGGCTGCTCATAGAGATATCCAGGTGTATCCTGTAGATTTTCATTCTTTGTTGAGCAGTAATCTTTTTTTGCCATTGTCTTGTGAGAAAAAAAAAAAAAGTATTTTATTTCTGTGCATACACACACACACATTATATATATATATATATATATATATATATATATATATATAAAGAAGATACAGAATGTCCCTTGATTGGATTTGGCTTGAGAAGTGCTGCAATAGCAGTTAATTTTGTGTCAGTGGAACAGGCAACTTGAAATAAGATCACTAGTACAACCTGCATTTCAGGCTTTTATTTCTGGATGACACTTTGAATTAAAGACAGTACTTACTTAACTCTGTTTATCTATAAAAGTGAAAGAAAGCCAACTTTTTATTTCCAATTTATTTATGTATTTATTTTTGCTAAAGTGAGTTTAACAGTCTGTAGAGACACTGGAACAGATTACTTTAGGGCAAAGAGGCACTAAATATCATAATCTTTGTGAGTGAAATAATAAATACCTGCACAGCCTATTGAGTGTTAAGGAGATAGGAACAATAGTACACATGTACTTTTAGGGAATACAATGGATCTATAATGGACAAACTGCAAAAGTAAACGTGCTTCATGAAGCAAAGCAGGTTATGTTTTTAATTTTAATGCCCATTCTTTTGTGGAAATTTAGTTTTAATCTTTTAATCTTACTCAAGAAGTTTTCTTGATGCATTAGTTAACCCATAAGAAACGAACACACACGCATTGAACTTTCAGCTCTATACATAAAAGATCGACAACCACCACTCTGCTGTAACAGTTTTAACCCAAATTATCTATTATGCTTTCACAGGAAACCTACAACCACAGCCATTTCTCCTACCAGGTGCTTCTTTCAGTGGATTTAATTTTTGCTATTGCTGTAGGAATTTAACATCATGATGGCAACAAATTCTGTTTAATGATCATTTGTACATTTTTATGGGCATTTTCTTTCCAAATTGTGCTAGTAAGTTTCCTTAGAGTGTTAGGGTTCCTGAACATTTTAGATGAAAATCTTATACTTGCCATTACAAGTTTCACTTAAAAAATGATCTTTTCCCCTCCACTGTGAGCATAATTTTGTGAAATGAAGTGTGACACTCCAGTTCCTTCATTACTTATAGTAGTTCGTATGAGGAATTCCTTGTGCATATTCATTTATTTATGAGGAAGAGTGCTGCACATTCTGTTCTGAACTGCCACTGAATTAGCACCCCAGTGTTATACCAGGGGGACATCATTCCATTTTTTCAGTTAAGTAGCAGAGCAGAAACTGTAGCTCCTTGTACTTAGAAGAAACCTGCTGGTGTTGCTCCAGAGGTAGTTTATTAACCTCTGTTCTCCAGTTACCATACTTCAGATATTATATTCTGTCTTCTGGGCTTCTCTTCCGTCTGGAAATCATATTCCAACTAAAATCCATTCAAATTAAGAGTAAGTAAGTGACTGCAGGACAATTACTGTAGAGCTCAACCTCTATAAAAAGTACTGTTCATGCCTGTAGTAGACATACTGTATCTGCAGGGAGTCTTACTTATTGTCACTCTACAGTGTTTAGCAGTCTGAGGATATTTATCAAGAAACAGATTCTGAATTATAGAGTACATACAACTACATCAATTAATTATGAACATTAATCTCTGGTTTGCTGTGGGCCTGACTGAAAATCTTTTGGACGTTTTCAAAAAATTTTCAAGGAATTACAGAAAGAGTTAGAGAAGGCTTTTGTGTAGCTGTGTAAGTAGCTGTGATGATTCCTAGCTTCTTTTATTGTTAATTGAACATAAAAATTATATATCATATTTTTATAAATTGAAATAATTTTGACATCTTAATTCAACCTTCTTTCTTTTCTGTTTGAGCTATATATTAGTCCCCAGCAAATGAAAAACTCAGTGAAACAGACACAAGTGAGCCTAAATCAGCAATAATTGAAGAACAGATAACAGTAGGTCAGGATGTCAGTTAATGGCTAGAAATTCTTCCTTCTGTAGCTGAAAACTTTTGACCATCTGTTCATCGTCAGCTCACAAGAAACCCCAAGTCATTGCTGTGTATCCTCCTGTACAATCACCAGGAAATCCTAAAGAGTTGAGCTTGGCAATGGGCTAGTAACAGCTTCTTCATGTCTGATGGTGGGAGGCATTTGCTCATACTGCTGTTCTAGATTCCTGCTCTGGATATGTTTACATATAATGCTTACTTTTTGAGGCAATTACTTTAATTCTGTTTCTCTGCACTGAAAATTAATCTAAGAAGGTCCACTATTGGCAGAGTCCATGCAGAAAGAAGAATCATCTGTATTTTTTTGTTGAATAACTCCTTGCTCAATATCTTCTCTCTTCTCATGCCAACTTTTGATGAAGCTTTTTTCTGCCATTCCTGTAGTGTTGGGTGCAGGGTGAAAGCCAAGTTGGATTAGCAAGAAGCCTTGAGGGCTTAGTCTGCTTGGGCATGTGTTAATGGGCTTTGTGCAGAATATGATGCAGATGTGAGCGTAGGCAGACTAGAAATCACAATGCTGTCAATAAAACTGCAAAACTCAAGGGCTTCAGTGCTGCCTTCAACCAGAGCCAGAGGGCTTTCGTAATTTCTTTTGCTCCTGCTTCCTCCTGAGGGACAGCTTTCTTTAAAGAAAATAAAGGATGAGAGATAAAGAAGTCCTGTCTGAAAAGACCAGAGGGAACCGCCTGCTGCACTTGATGCCTGAAGGCAGGGAGTTCACTCTCAGCCTGTGCTGAAGAGAGAGAGGCAACGTTTCTCATTTGAAAATAACAGAGACAGATGCAGTCAAAAGTCTGTAGCAGTAACATCTATTTTTAAATTCTCCCCTATACCAGGATGAGCTGCCTCCTAATGAGCAGTCATAGACTCTTCACTGTTTTTTATGGTGACATTTTGCTTCTTCTAATTCTCTTCTTAATGTACTTTTCTAGCAGAGCAGATAATAATTATGAATTATAATCATGTAGAACTGCTCTTACCAAACAGCAAACTCAACCAAGATAGTGCCAAAGCTGCAAGCAATTTCTCACTTACGATAATAGAGTTTTCTTCATTACTGCTGTGGGAAAATGTCATATCTCAGCTGATGGCATACATTGTTTTAGATGTAGTGATCTTCTTTGGTTGTAATATTGACAAACCGCTATGCCATCACATGTCAGATTTTGACTGCACCTGTTTGCAAACTTAAGTTAATTATGCTCTGCTGTCTATCTGCTTATTTTATGGATGTTTTGCTCACATGTTTTTAAGCAATGCTATTTAATTGCAGATAACTAATGGTAGTTATCTCTTCTCATTATCTTACTTTAACATTTGATTTGTCTGATTGCTGCAGGTGGAAACAATAGGTGATGCGTACTGCGTCGCAGCAGGGCTCCACAAGAAAAGCCTTAGCCACGCTAAAGCCATTGCCTTGATGGCACTTAAGATGATGGAGCTATCAGAAGAGGTTCTCACTCCAGATGGGAGCCCTATTAAGGTAAATCATTTGCTCTTTCTTCTCAGTTCATCAGTGGTACATCGGCCTGATTAACTCCACTATATTCTGTCAGTAGAAGTCTACTGCAAGAATTAAAAATTACTGCAAGATATGACTTTATATATTTCAGTGGTCCCCATCAACATTCGTGCCTAGTTTTTTAAGCGCAGCACATAACTTAACATCCACATAATGCACATTTTGCTGGTGTGGGGGTCTGCTTTGTGTTAGCTGTCACTTTGTTATATGCATTGAAAGTCTATTTGTGGCACTAGGTGCACTGCTAGAGACTTCCAGTTCAGTTAGTGTGAGAAGGAGATGATTCACGTGCTCCAGGACTGTGCCATGCTGCAAGCTAACACATGGAATGGCATTTAAAAACTTCATTTCAGAAGTAGGCTCCAGAACTTCAGCTCTGCTATAGATGCACTCAGATAGTTCTGTGGCTCTAAGGGGCACATCTTTTTTTCCAAAAAGTTGTTGACCTGAATACAATGGTGTGGGGACTGCTGGCTCTTGGTGACACTGTTCTTCCTTCCCACGCACCACCAGTTCTTTTTCCTAGACTGGTACAGGAGGCAGCAGGAGGTGGAAAGTGTGTCCTTTTGTACTTTTTTGAAGGTTCTCTCTGCCATTCTGCATCTTTTGGTCTTACAACAACCTTGTAGCCACTGACACGTGACGTGGATAACATTTAGGTACAAAATGGAAATTCAGCAGGAAACAGAGTCCATGGGGATAGATACATGTCTTTCCTATGCAAGGCTCAGTTTACATATTGCCTTCATTTTACTCACTCCTGGTTTTGGTTAAATTGTTCTTTTTATTTTCAAAGAAAATGGGGAGATTATTTAGAACAATTATTCAACTCTGTCTAAAGCCAATAACAAAAGTCATATGTAGCTAGATGAGAAGGCTGGACAGAGTTCCCATAGGATTTACATCTTGGTTGAATTACACTTTGCAAACTGTGATTCCTTTTATGTGCTAAAAAGGGAGGCTTGAAAACATGGATTATTATTATTTTTCTCTTTTTCTGGGAGGGGATTGTGTTATGAATTTCTAAAACAACTCTTTGGTTTTAAAACCTGTCAGAAAATAAATGGTTTTGAAAAAATAATAAATCTGTGATGATCCTTGAGTAGTAAAATTATATATTCTTGAGTTCAAACTCATCTCTACTAAATGATACCTTGAATTATATTTCTTGAAGTCTTTGTATGTGGTGAATCAAGAGAGATTTAATCCAGATGTGTTGCCATGCCCAAGAAGGAGAGCATGGACAGCTAATCTAAAAACTCCAGGAAATATAGCAACACAATATTCAAATGAAAATATAAGGATGAAATATTTGTATTTTTTGGTACTCATGCTTCTGATGAAATTTTTCTTTAAAATTGTGAAATATCTATTTATTTACCATAAAATGGCCACTTATTTAAAAGCCTAACTTTCCATGAAAGTACCTTGGATTATGGATACTGAAGAATAATTTTGTAAAAGCTTCACAAAGTCTTTTATTGAACTCAGAATTAGCATTAGAAGACAAATATTTTCTGAAGATACCAGAAGATGTTTTTGGTTTTCAGTTTTGATTCAGAACTGTTTCAGATTGGTGTTCACTAACACAGTACAAAATAGTTTTTCCAGGTTGTTTGATAAGTTCTCTATTTTTTCAGTGAATATAGATGATCAATACAGTCTAGCTTCACCGTCACATGCTGGAGATCTGCCTTCCAGATCCTTTCTATCTTTATACTCTATAAATAATTCTTGCAATCATAGGGAAATTTTAAATGTTTGTTTTACTCTTAAAGTCACAGTGAATGTTTTCATTACTACTTTTTTTTTTTTTTTTTTAAGAAAAATTATCATTTCAGTGACTTTGTAAGAAAACCTATAAAAGAAAGACCATAAAGACAATGCATGAGAAAGATGCTTGTAAAGAAGAAAATGCTAGGAACAGCTGCATATATTCAAAAAGTCCTAATGAGTTTCCTTTTGAATTCAGAAGAAAAACTGTCAGTTTGTTATAACTTATATTGAAAATAGAGGTGCTGAGAAGGTCCTCAGTGGATGTTAATTATCCTGTTTTCAGTTTTAAGTGTGACTTCAAGGCAGGAGGACCAGTGATACCAACCAGAGTGACAAAAAGCCTTTTATTGTTGCCTTTGTACTGAGACTGCTAATTTACGCTTAAGAAAGTATATAGAGGCATAGAATCATAAAATAACCTCAGGTGGAAGGAAACCACAAGGAAGATTGAATCCAATTTCTGGCTCCACGTAGGACCACCTAGAATTCAAATGCAACATCTGAGACATTATCCGAATGCTGTTGAATTCCAGTGTTGATTTGATTTTAAGGATTCATCTCTCCTGTGTATATACCCTGTAAAACTATAGGAATAAGGGCTTTTACAGAAGTCAGCTCTAATTTGTCCTAGTTTATGTATCTGCACAGGGGTGAGGTGAATCACACCCTCAAAATGTGTTTTTTTTTTTTTCTTCAGTTGTCTGTATGGGAATTTTGTAGACCTAACCTAAATTTGGGTATTTACATTGTAAGCTTCTTCACTGTCAGATGAACCCTCCTACAAATGGCAAAGAATGTGTAGTCTTCTTAGTAGTTATGTCAGTTATCATTGCAGCTAAATGTGGATGCATTACTCCTAAATCAAATTGGCATGATTAACTTCCAGCCAATGCTGCGTAGCATGGAGTGATCTCTTTTTTTTATTAGTTTCTTATGTACAAAGCTTTGAAGGTGCTCATCGTGCCACAGATTTTTACTAACAAATACATCACGTACATCATCCACCTGAAGTTTACAGATCCCCTACATGTTTATAAAAATGGATTCGGCTCCATGCCATTAATAAGAGTCTAATTGTTTCATATCCTTTGCTATAAGGCATTTCCACAAAATATTTCATATATTCATGAACATTCATGAAGTACACTGTGCAAACTAGAAGATGTGAAGTGGCATGACTTCTCAATGAGGAACTGTAATGTATTGTAATGTGGTTACTTTGAACTGGTCCTGTTGGTGTGCGTGACAAAACAAGCACAGTATTTTGACCACATTTTGACTCTAATTCTTATCAGAAATTTGTATTACAAATTTACATTCCTTGAGTCATTGCCAAATGTGTTGAATACAGAATGCTAAAAGTAGCTTTTGTTTTCTCAGGTTGAATATCCTATATCAGTGTTTGGATGTTGGAGAGCTTGAAATCAGAGAGCAGTTATCCTCATACCCAAACCTTTTTTTGCCGGGATCAGCTGTGGCCTTCATTCCTCTGAGACAAGTTTTCAAAACATAATTCCTAAATATAAGAGTCCCTCTGATCTCAGGAGTAAACAACAGTGTTGTGATTCCTCCCCCTAGAATCTGGCTTACAAGCATTGATTGAATAAGAGGAAATTATTCCCAGCCACTTTATATAATAAATGACACCACAGTGACTTGAATTTTGATTTCTGTTAACTGGCTGACTGTTACCACATGGTTACTCTGTTTTGAAAGCGTCTTCGAAAAAGAAGCAAGCATGCTAACATCTCCTTGGTGTTTGCAGTGGATTTCTCTTCCAGAGACATAGTCTTATTGAAGCTATTGCAGATCAGCACTGGAAATAGAGTTCAGAAATTACCGCCAGCTTTGTAGGGTGCGATTGGCAGTGACGCACACTGAAGATGGCTCTTTATTGCAGAAGGCAATGTCTTTTAGGCAGACTTAAGTTACACATGTTTCTGGGTTGTCTTGCTTGCAGAGATTTCAGCTCTGGGGAAACCCAACTGTAATTATGATATGCAGTGCTTTTTATTTGACGATTACTCAATTAGACATCTCTGACTTCATGATTATAGTTTATGGAATACATATATTTTCTAAATTACTTTGATGAATATATTTTGTTGTCATCTCGGGACTGAATTCAAATGTTTGCTTTTTGTACTGCTTGAAGTGATCACCCCTGTGATAGCAGCTTATTGACATCTTCCTGAGTGACACTGACAACCTCAGAAATAGACTCAGAAAGTCAGGGAGAAAAAGTAAATGATGGAATGAAAAAGACTATACTACATAAGTGGGAATTAAGGATCGGATTTTTAGTATTAGCAGGCAATCAAATGAAAGTTATTGTCTGGGTTTACAGTTATCAGTATTCATTCTGCACGTTCTGAAGAGCCTGCTCCTTAGAGCGATACCTAGACTACCTGACTAGAAAGCAGTGATGGACCTCAGGATGGTGGCAAGGTGCATGAGGCATGTCTGTTTTATATCCCTGGTCTCACCCTGTGGATCAGAGCGCATGGCATGCTGCTGAGGGCACTGTAGTGTGCAGCTGCCAAAGGCAGAAGAAATGCTTACCAGAATGGAGACCCTGTGCCTGCACTCCTTATAGCAACTCCAATGAAATGTGATTTGCACAGTAATGAAAAATCTTGACAGAAAGAGAGAGGGGGCTATATTATAGCAGTCTGCACAAGTCCTGTTGTCAGTGCTGTAGCAGTCTCCTCTTTCTGAAATAAATATTTGTAACAGAAAATGGACTGATTGCTCTCATGTAAGCAATGGAAGCTCCAGGTCCCTGTACAATATTTTCTTACTTCTATTTGAGGCAAAATCCCATTAATTTAAGGGCCTTAGTAAAAGGAAGGGCTTTTGGCTCACACACTACGTGTAGAACTGGTTATATACCCTTTCAGCAAAATGCTTTTTAGTCAGGAAGCTCTGATTTGATTTTGCTTCTGTGCCACTAATTAAACGTAGTGCCCTATGACTGTAGTTTGAAAATATTGATTTAAAATTGCCTTCTGCATTTAAGTGAGCATTACTTGAATGTTCAATATTTATCATACTCTATCTCTTTAGATAAAGTGGAAGTATATTAATTTTAATAGCTAGAGATGATGCTGTAAGAAGAATTGTCCAGAGCGTAGACCTTTAGAAGTAAAGGTCACAATATGTATCTCATTTAATGTGTTTAAACC